TGGCCCGTGTCATGCTGCCGGCTGCTGCTGCTCATTTCTTTATTTAAATGTGTCTGCTTACGCCTTTTTTGCCTCGCTCAGCAGATTTATATGCAGCATCAGTCGAACGCTTCTTATGGATGGACTACACCGAAAAGGGGTTCGCGCTTGCTCACTGATGGCTGATTGCTTGTCGCACAGCTGCGGGCAAATTGTAGACATTTTTATAATATAATATTTTTTTTCTTTTTATATTTCTTTGCTATTTTGCTTTAGATCATTATGGATTAGCTGGCTGTTTGTCTGCTAATTTGTGCACATAAATTGTGGCGCATGTTGGGCTAAGCGAAATAGAGCAGTAAAGCAGTGGATAGTGTAATAAGTACGTGATATTTTAGATGGTATCTCAATGATGTAGACTTTATGTCGCTTTCAAGGAGTTTTTTTTACTCAAAATTATGTTTTATACATAAAAAAAATTAAAATTGTAATAAATGTTGAGCAAAAGTACTGAAAAAGCAACAATATCGTCTTCTTTTCTCATTATCTGTTGATGCTTGTATATTTATTAATTTATTTATAATAATGTATATACAGTTTTCATGATGCAATCAATCAACTACAATATCTGATCGACTTATTATGCCTAGGCTCACTTAGATAGATCTATGTAGGGCAACTTTAGTTCTAGTAAGTTTTCAGGCAGTTCAAGAGTTTTATTGATACATATAAATAATTAATAATATAGAAATTAAACACTTAATATTGTTTTATATGAATAAAAGAACAACATAGTTTTCTCATAACTGTTGCTTTTGAACAACATCTTTGAAAATAAATAAAATGTTTGTACTAGAAAAGAATAACTACATATTGCTTAGTTTCGATTCTAATCTCTCTCTGGGCCAACAACAATTTTAGCTGCTGGTGCAAATGTTTGTCAGCGAACAACAGATGTGCGCAGCGCGCACGTGTGCATGCCAATTTGATATGGCGAATCTTAAAGTAAATAAATACAAAGCTCAATGATGAAGCTGCGGACTTTGTTTAAGGAATATAAAAAAATAATGAAAAACGTTGAAAATAAAATAAAAATAAGCATAAAATAGAACAGTGCTTGAGCGGCTTACAACAGTCGAGAATCTGCGCATACGTACTAGCAGCGGCCAATACGCATTTAAGCGCATGTCCAAAGCAGCAACAATGCAATTTCTTAAAAGGATCATGATAACTGCCAACTGCAATATATAAGTTGCTTATTTGAAGAAAATTTATGCCCAACATTCGTTGATGTGAGTAAGAGTCACTTGAAGTGCACATTTTGACAGATTTGCGTTGACTTCGGTTGAGCTGAATTGAGTTGAGTTTTCACTGCAAAATTAAAATCCAGCTGAAGAGCTCAGAAAGCAATGCTGAAATAATATTTTATAAATATATATTCACTTACTTCGTTATACTTACATATATGTGTATATATTTTTGAAATCATACAAGGTTTAAGAGTAGTTGTATAGTATAAGTAGTATGTATGTATGTAGGGTTCTAGCTTCACTACTGATGTTGCAACTGATATGTTGCCAATGAACGATAGTAAGCCTTTACTTACTGTTGTTGAAACTTGTTCTTGGCCTTAAGTTTGAACTCTGCGTCACAGTGAAGGGCAGCTAAAGCTGATGGGTGTTCAGTCGTCGTCTCATTTTGATTTTTTGATTGGGTGGGGCTGCTAGTTATTCGCTTATACATATATGTAAGATACATAAAGATCAGCGTAAATTTCCAAACCTTTAACTGAATTGTAGTATAAATGGGGTTCTGCAATAAACAGTTTTGATATTAAAGATTTGGTATAAAAGACATGCAGAATAAGTCTTCTCATTAATTACCTTCAATGTTTTGATGACTTTTCGGCTCACTATTATGTTGGAAAAGTAATAATACGTGTTTGGTTGCTGCTTTCGGCTATTTTTGCATATTTATCTACTTTCTAAAGTATCAGTTGTTTTCCGTGTTGTTTTAATACTTTAGGATCTAATGAGACTCATTCCAAAGAATGGATAAAAAAATTAGATAAATATAACTTTTGTGTAATTTGCAGAAAACTCAATCATCATTCATTTGTTGAGAGCTCGCATTCGCTGTACTAACCTTTACTACTTATTAGTTACGAGTAACGATTCGTAAAGTTATAGATTTAAATCTTTTCGCATTTATTACAAGAACTATGTAGTTGTAATTTTTTCATTCATTTTTTCGAGGGTAAATTGAGTTTGATGCGCACTACTGTTAGAAAAAATAAAATAAGTGTAAATCCTTCCGTTTTTGAGATATCGGTATCGCCGATATCCACCACTTTAGAACATAGCTACCATACAAACTGATCGATCAAAATCAGGTTCATGTATGCAAAAATCTTATATTTTACATTATATCTTCAAAAAATTTGGCATAGATTGTTGTCCAAGGCAACGCTATATTCTTCGAAAACATTTTCAGATCGCACCACTAAACGATATAGTTGCCATACAAAGTGATCGATCAATATAAGGATCTCTTGATACCTTATTATAAAAAATTGGCATTTGTGAAGGGTATTACAACTTCGGTGCGGTCCGGTTTTTTAATTAAAAATTAGTGCTTTTAAAATTATTTCATATGCATTTCGAATTTTGGTATCCTGTGATACCAGTTTTTCCGGTAGAAGCTTTTATTTATGTTTGGAGATCAGACTAGTTTGTTTAACAGGAAACCTTAACTGCTTCCCGCCATTTTCCACGCTGCAATTGCACACCTATTTATAAATATATATACACATGCATATACTTGTATATGTTGTGCCTGAAAACTCGTTTAAATCTATGAGACGCTATGTAGGTGTCACGCTTTTCCAGCATCTGAAGGGCTAGTTCACAAAATCAATGCCAAACCGGACTTTGTACTTTGGCCTTTTACGATCTTAACTATTATACTGGTTCCATTTTATGAGCACTTCATTGCACTTTTATACTTTACTCATATACATTTTTATTATTTTTCATGCTTTTGTTTTTTTGCACAACTACTAGCGCGCACTCATTTATTTGCAATTTGCGCGCAATTTTCCTGGCAGCATCTGATTTTCGTTTATCATATTCCACATCAACGCGACTTCACTGAGTTGTTGTTACTGTTTGTTAGTCCAGCTGTTGCTGTTTGCTGTTTGCAGTCAGCAGTTTGCCGTCTGCTGTTTGTTGCCTGCGATTTGTTGTTTGTTTTTGTTCGGTTTTTATTTTACTCGGCTTATTGTTGCTGCGTTGTTTGCTGACAAGTTGTTGGCACGTTCGGCGCGCGTGCACACGATTTGCGCTACGCTTCAGAAGGTGGCACTGCCAACGCCAACAACAGGCAACAAAGTCCAGTCCTTTTTTAGCAGTTGTCGACGTGCTTTTGTGTACTTGTTGAGTGTTTGCCATTGGAAAATCCACTTCGCTATTAGTGATTGCTGAATTTTTATTCTTCCTTCTCTGCTGGTTGCTCTCAATTGCTGTTTGTTGGCAATTCGCGCCTTTTTTCTAGTTTACACGCTGGTTTTATGTTGTTTTACGCGGCAAAAACGCCAGCAGACGAGCATTGATTGTTCGCTAGAAATTTGTTGCATGCTGTATTCGTGTTCAACATTAAACTCGTGATTCTATGGCAGTGGCAAGCTCGTTGTTTACCGTTTTGTATGCGGGTACATATGTCACAATAATTAGTTTAAGGTCCATATGTGTATGTTTATGGACGTATGATGAAGGTACGGCGACCATTTGAAGGGTCCATGAACCATGGTTAAATCCAAATCTTAAATTAAAGTTTATTTATTTTTTCAGTGGATATCACTTTCTTTCAAAAATATTTTATCACTTCAGATTAAGTTAAGAGCTTGAGTAGCACCTCAATTACATATTTATGTCATTATTTGGCATCTATAACACATTTTTATAAAAAATATTTTTTTTTTTTTTGTTATTGGTGCTCAGGCTAGTTGCCGAAAATACACAGTTTTTATCAGCTTGCGTTATATATACATATTATATATAGAATTGTTTCATAAATGTGTACAAAAATGTCAATATATAACAGTATCAAACAGATAATTATATATAACATCTGATCAAATTTCACCCAGACCGACAAAAAAACTATTTCACGTATTTCAATACAAATATTTATTATCGCCTTCAAAATTGGCGCTTGAGCCAATACAAGCATGCTAACGCTTAATTAAATTTTCCATACACTTATCATAAGCCTCAGCTGAGATGGGCTTCAGTGCCTTCAAGCGTGCGTACTTTTTACTGAGGCAACTATAAATGCAGATTGTTATGTTTAATGATTGGGAGCGTAAAAAAATACTAAATATAACATAAATTTTTGACGTACAGATATAAAGAAAGCACTTTAATAAAACATTTCAAATAATTGCTCGGTAATTTACAAAATCAGTAATCAATTATTATTCATTATTATATAAATGCCCGAAGCAATCGAAAACGCACAAGAATTCAACATAACGGATATTATATACCTAAGTATACTTACTGAGCAATGTATATAGAAAACACAATTAGTTGAATCGCCACATATCCGAGCCATTAACTCTAAAGAAAAACTTAATATGAAGTATATTTATAGTTGTTGTTTTTATGTGCGATGCACGAAATTTTAATCATTTCATTTATTAATTATTTTTTATTTCTAATTATGAATAGGCAAATCTGAAAATTTTATAACGCTGTCAAGAGAACTGTAGAATTTTCAGACAAGCAGTTACTCAGTTTTCTAAATTTGATGATTTGAATTTTTTTTTGAGGTAAAAGTGGTTATTAAAATTAGTTTATTAATATTTAAAATAACTTTCTTTTAATTTTAAAATTCAAATCCTATTTTTTTTTTTATTCAAAGCAATTAAAGTTTATTTCACATGTATGCACATTATAAAATGTTTAAAAACTAAAAATATTATTTTTTTATTTATTGTTAATTTTTGTTTTTTTCGATTTTTTTTTATTTCTAATTAATTTTAATTATTATTTCTTGTTTTTCAATTTTTATTTTAATTTATAGTGTTATTAATTTTCTCAACGCTAGCAAAGTCATACACTAAATTTTGTGTCTCTAACTTTGCTGGTACATGTCTTTGCTAACAAATCTCCACGCCGTGCTCTTGTAAGCAACAGACACATACACTGTTGATCATTTGTGAGCGAGGTGATCATCATAAACTTATTTATATGTGTGTATGATCTCCGCAGTTAAAACACGCACACACTCATATAATCGTTATTATTCACTTCACTCGTTGCTGTTGCTCAGCCGTGTCTGTAAGGCCTGCCAGGCCTGCGCCGAGTTGTTTGCAATTTTTATTAGCAACATCTTCATTTAAATTTTCTGCAGACACAGATACACATATATGTGCGTACATACACACATGTGTGACGCGAGTTTGTTTGCTAAACTAGCTGTTGCTATTTCTATTAATATTGTTGTTGCTATTGCTGCTGTGTGTTGTTGTACCCAAGTGTTAATTTACGACAAGGCAAACAAATGATCATCGCTGTGTAGCGAAAAAATTACCAATGGGGGAAAAAAATTAATAAAAGGTAGATAAATAAAATAGAAAAATTAGGAAAAAAAAAATTGGTAATTTAGCGAAAAAATGCCATGGTCGCGCTTACAATTAAAATCAATTGTCATAAATATTTTACGCTACATTTACGGGTGTGCCAATTGTCAGTGTTGTGATGCACGAGTTCATCGCGTTTGTTTCATACGATCAGCATAATTAACGTATGTGTGGTGTTAATATCTTGAAAGTATTTGAGTTATTTTTTACAATTATAAAGAAAAAATGTTTAAATTGAAAAGCCATACTTCGGTGAAGCGTAAATTATTCTTGGTTCACAGTAATGCAGGGAAATTCCTTTGGATAATGGGGTACGATCCCAATGGAATTGAGAGTGCGAGGCGGTGTTTTTGACAACTGAGAACAGTGGTGGATTCATTGAAAAGATGAATATTAGCCTCACCTTTTGTAGGTTCAAATTCTGTTTGCAATTTCCATATAAAATTGCACGAAAAATGCTGTGCTTAATGCGCAATCCTAAGTTTTTTAGAGTCTAATAAAAAAAATCTCTTCAAATAATGAGGGGAGATTGTTTATCTCAAGAAGAATGGAAAATGTCTTAATTCATAATTTTTTTGAGAAAATATATTATATGATATTATACCTATATATATTATATATTATTTGATATTAAAAAATTTAGGAAGAGAAGGAATAAAAAGTAGCACCAAAATTAATCAAGAAATTATCGTTGTCGATCTTTAGTAAGTAATACAATGATCTTGTATCATTTCTATACTGGTGATAGATGGCAATAGATTTCAACAGCTTGACAGTGTCTTAACCAATGTCTTGTAATTGCGACTCCTTTCAATTACAATAATTAGCCTTTCGGAGGGTTTGAAACATTTTGGACACTATTTACATAGAGTTTGAAAAACTATTAAATAATATTATATTTACTATGTTAACTAGGTAAGCTTATGAGGTCGATTCCAACAGTGATATCACTTGGACAGCTTAGACCGCCGGTCTGTTGTGGTATTTTAAACTCCTTTATAAATGATCATTACTCCTTCATAAATTGACAAAGTGCTTTGAGCCAATCAGCAATTTGGTAAGGCGGCTAATATCAGGTTCGGCTATGTCTCCTGGTTCGCCGAAAATAATACTGCCAATATATTTTACCCTCAGTCTTGCAAAGGCTGGACAATAGAGGAGAACATGCCTCCATGTTTCCACCTTACGATCTTCCAAGACAAGCTTTTGGCCTTATCGCATGAATGGCGATTGCACAATGTCCAGTAAGAACTCATATCTTATAAGTGGTGGAAGAATATAAACTACTGCTTCCTCCTTGGGTTCACATAAATATTTTTATTGAAAGTTATTTCTTTATTTACGCTGAGAAAATAGCGCCATCAGTTGCTTACTACTTACTTACAAAAATATTTCTAGTACTTGCGTACATAGTTTTGGTTGACCAAGCGTCAATAGAACC